TTCAGGAACTGGGATTTCTTTAAAGGCTAAACAATTGATGTGGAACTGATACATATTATGCTTAACAACATACAGACACTACAAGAATTTCATAGAAGTCTATAATCAAAACAGATAATGCGCAGTGTTCTAGCGCTGGAAGAAAATGATCAACCTAAAAGGAACCGTGTGTAGAATAGGTAGTTCTACCTGTTCAAGCTTTCGTAATGCAAAGAAAGAGTGGATGGAAACATTTTAATTGATGAATCACGTTTTCATACTTGAAACAGTTGGTAATGGGAGAGGAATGGAGTGACCCAACAACTAATTTATAACTGACATTCAATGCAGAATAAATTTTTCTTTGAAAGACAGAGAAGAAATAGGCTCATGATTGAAGAGAGAGTAGCTCCACACATTTAATTCCAAGAATTTTGTTGAGCCACAAAGAGCCATTGCTTATTCAATTGAGAGAGAGAGAGAGAGAGAGAGGGGGGGGGGAGAGATGAAGGGTGGGGAATGAAAGACTAATTCATGTTACCATTAAAGGAGGGAGAAAGAGAGAGACAGACGAAGATGTGACCTCTGAGGTTTTCCCAAACCCATGCTCCCTCAAAACATAATTCCCAAATTCAGTAACTTTTAAACTTAATTCCCAAACTCAGTCTTTTTTTTAAAATGTCATTTGAAATGACGTCTTCTCACCTACAATCGTCATTTGGAATGAAGATTTAAAGTTTTAATTTTTTTTCCAGAAAACGTCATTGCTAATGACGTTTTTAAAGTCGTCATTCAGAATAACGTTTTTAAAGTCGTCATTCAGAATAACGTTTTTAAACATGATTTTTTAAACGGTAGTAACAGATGTTAAAAATTATAAAAGGGATGAAAATGTCATTCAAAATGACATTTTTTTAGGCAAATAAACGTTTTCAAATTTTTTTAAGAAGACCTAAGTCGGTCTCTCCTCTCTCACATCGCTCCTCCCTCCTCCTCCTCCAACCAGTCAGTCCACTGTCTCAGATCGGTCGATCTCTCCTCCTCCTCCGCCTGCAACCACTCAGCCACCGTCTTCTCCGACAAGAGCAGACCACTCAGCCCCTGTCCGACGAAACAGCCAATACATTTACTTTGTTTTGTTCAGCTCTATTAGCTGCGGCTGGGGTTTCAAACCAGACCACTCTCTTTATCTGCTACGTTCTCATCTTCAGTAAGGTTAGAACTACGATTTGTGTTTTGATTTAAGGGCTTGTTGGTTATATGGTTTTGGTGGGTTTTGGTCTCCAATGGATTTTAGTAATTGATCTAAATCCTCTTAATTATAGTAGAGAAACAATTAGGGTAATTACAATATTCCCCTATCTAAATTAAATATGACTAATACAAAAAATAAGAACTCTTAACACCTTTCTCATAGACCTTTAAAATCATCACAATTATCTTCAAGAATCTTCACGTTCCTCTCCTTCCAAATCACTCATAACGTAGCAAAAAGGGACTATGATGTTGGTCAGGCAAATATGATGTTGGTCTGCTGTTAAGGTCTTAAGGGGCTTCTTGTAGCTAATAGTTGCGATGCTTTCCTTTTATATAGGCATCATGAGATTTTTGTTTAAACATAGCATTTTTAGGGTGCCTTCTTCAGCTTGTAATTTCTATTTGTCAAATTCTCATGGAAGAGTAAACAAAATAGCTGATGTCTGGCTTGATTGCTTGCGATTATTTTCAACATATGTTGTTAAAAGGTCATCCCTACTGCATTTTTGGTGTATGAACAGTTTCTACTCCCTTGTAAAGGTCATCTTAGCTAGATTCTTTCTTTGGAAAAAATAATCCAAGTAGTTTCTTATTGGTGACTATACTAACTGAAGATTACAATAAATTACCTTATTTGTTAATCTTTTATTATGATTTTTACACAACTAGTAATTCTTTCAAAGTGGCGCTTCTAATTCTTTTGGCTGTTTTACACATCTACCACTGGAAACCTTGTTATGTCTCATCATTTTTTCAATCATTGTTGTTTCTTGATTTCTCTAGTTAAAAAACTTTGATGTGCTATCTAATTATCTCGAAAGGTAATGTCAGCCACTAATTGTATTGTCAATAATTTTCTCTTGATTCTTGGCAGATGGGCTTCCAATTTGTGGGCAAAGCAGTGTATATTGTGTATGGGTTGCTGCCCTGTCATTGTTTATGGAGCTGCTAGGTTTCTCCACACAGACATGGCTCACTGCAGGTGGTCTTGGAACAGTCTTGTTGACACCGGCTGGTCGTGGGGTGTGATTTATATTTCTACTGTGTAAAATAGTTCATCCTGCTATTCCTTCACCAACATGAAGATTACTCCTGAAGATATATATGTTCTCTATAGTTCAGTCGATTATATATTTTGATCCATGACCACTGTTTTTGCCATTTGTAGATATTCACAAATTTTCTTTCAAGTGCAATGATTCATGCAACCCGTCCATTTGTCGTGAATGAGTGGATTCAGACAAAGATTGAAGACTATGAAGTTTCTGGTACTGTTGAGTTCCGTATATGAGTTTTGCAGCCATGTTCATAAGTAGATCCATATGAAGAGGACAAAGAGAAAGATAAGTTATTTTTAGTGAGTTCACCTATTATTTAGATTTTTGTTACCTCATTTATCTCATGAGTGTATCTGTTTATCATTTGAACCTGCTAAATTTAATCCTAAATTCACTAATTTCGTGTTGATTTCGTGTCGGCTGAGTGTTGTATAGGATTGCCAGAATTACATGGAGGATCAGGCAACTATTTTAACTTCAAGCATAGAAACCAAAAATATAAAAGAACAAAAGACTAAATAGATAAGCAAGGTTCAAGTATTTTTTGAAGTCTCATACCATAAATACTAGGTTCGTCCCTTTCCTCGGAAACCCGGATTGAAACATCCACAAATCCTTGAGGTTTGGTGGAATTCCTTTTCCGCAATTCAAAACTCCCCACTTCCTCAACTGGTTTTGAGTTTGAAACTTCAGAATTCTTCATGTATTTATCAAGAAATTCTTTCACAACAACTGTAGCTGTCCCCTGAAGCCTCTCTCTAAGAAAGATAGGCTCTCTACTGTAAACCTCAACATTCAGAGCCAAATCTCCGAGGTTCGATTCGGATCAACCCACCCAACAGCCAACCATTGGAGCTTCCACAGAGATGAAGTTCTCCGAAGTCCCCTAGCAGAGATCAGGCAGATTTCAACACTGAGTTTACCCATTTCAGACCAAGTTTCTGTTTGTTGAAAGGAACAAGAGGTGGTGAGAGAAATTTGTCCCCTGTGACTGTGAGGTTCTGAGACAGGAGAATGTGATGGCTGAGTGGTTGGAGGAGGAGGAGGAGGGAGCGATCTGAGAGAGGATGGCTGACTGGTTGGAGGAGGAGGAGAGACCGACTGAGAGAGGGATCTGAGCGAGAGAGAGAGGGAATCTGACTGAGATAGGGGTTCTGATCGAGCGAGAGGGGATCTGACTGAGAGAGAGATGCGTTTTAAAAAAATCTGTAAAGTAAATGAGGAAGGTTTTAAATAAGTCATTGTAAATGACGTTATATATCTCTTTATTTTTTATTTTTTTAAAGCCTGTTAACTCCGGTTAGTTTTATTCATCTTAAAAATCGTCATTGCAAGTGACGTTTTTAATAAAAAAGTTTTAACTCTCAATCCCCATTGCAAATGAAGGTCTCACAAAAAAATTGGGTTTGAGAATTATATTTAAAAGTGATTGAATTATGAAAATAAATTTTGAGGGAGACTGGGTTTAGGGAAAACCTCGGTGACCTCTCCCAATCAATATTTGGTAGTGAGGTTTGGTAATTAAATTAGGGATTGAAATGACTTAATTCTATTGCTGAGGGGTAAAAAAGAAATGGATTAATTATAAGTTGTACTCTGAAAGATAGTGGGAATTTCAATTTACACCCCTAAAGATCAAAAATTTTAATTTGTACCCTCAAAGATAAAAATTTGTATCAATGTGCACCCCCAAAGATAAAAATCTTAATTTGTACCCTCAAAGATAGAAATTTGTATCAATGTGCACCTAAAACTAAATTGATAAATTATATCTAGATCCCCTCATGTTTGTCACTTAATCATTTTGACCCTTTCACATTTAGAATATTACTCTTACATCTCATGACGTTTGTGCACCTGCAACATGTAATCTCTTTTCATCCTACAGAAATCAATCTGAAGTTGCCTTTTGACTACTGCTCACATAAACTATTATGTCTCCAGAGCAAGTTGAACACCACTTTCATCTCATGGCGCCCTCCCGCAAAACATCTATCATGTTGTAGATGAATTTGTCCGCCTTTGATTGAACCTGAGCTTACACAACATTTCCAAATTCAGTCAAGTAACAGAAATTAACAGCGAGAGAAACTCGGAGCATTTGATAATAACAGCAGTTTTTATACATGTTTTGTTATATTTTCTTTAATACTCTTAATAGTTTTAATTGGTTGCCAAAGGCTATTATATACCATTGATATATTTGGTGGATTATAGCTGACAAATGTAACGTTGCAAAGGGCAAAAAGATGAGTATATAAAAGTTGTAATCAAAATAATGGTTAAATTATGTGAATAACTATTACTCGAGCGGTGCATTTTGAGGAAGCAACCATTATCACCTTCTTAGCAAGGAAAATTGCAGCATCAACTGTACCCTCCGCATAGATTGATCTACCACAGACATTATGCTGAAACTCAAAAGAAACTCTGAAAAAAGGAAACACATCTAACATAGTTAGTGATGCTTACTAGGAAGACAAACAGAGAAGCACAAAAGCAATGGTTCGTAAATTACGTTTTATCAGGTGACTCCAGTTGATACTTGTGGAATGCATGACCGGATAGGTACTCTTTTGGGACACCCACCATCTCAATTTGTTGCTTGGGATCTCGTATTATTTTTACCTGATGAAATGTTAAATAAAGGATCAAGGAACATACCTAACAGTTCTGATTTGATTTTTGCCATACAGCTTATGCAAAGAGGAAGGAAAGAGACAACAAAAAGGTTTTAGCCCCCCAAAAGGATAAGTCTCTACATGCCAACTTACATTACATGAGTACCAGCAAAAAAACTTACATTACATGAGTTACTAGGATCCTATAGCTTGCTTTAAGGTCTAGAAGCAATGAACACTACTCACAACAAAGTATGCCATAACACACCTATCATGCTAAACCATCTCATAAACCCATAACGAGACCCATAGTCCCTAAATAGTTATCGTATAACCAAAGGGGTGCAATTTTTTTCTCTGGATAAGAAACAAGTAATTTACTGGTGAATAATCAAATAAGAAGGATACAATAAAGGTGGACAAGCTGTACAACCAAAGCATAATAAATCAAAAGTCATGGAAACCAAACTAAAAATCGCAGAAAGCATTCCACATTGCAAAAATACATAACAGAGGAGTTCCTTGAAACTCCTTAGTAACTAAGGCCCAAAAAGAAGCTAAAAAGTAACTCGTTTCCCACAAACAAGCACCACTCAAGATAGTTACCATCAATATATTTATGAATCCACCAAAATCTTGATTCAATGCTTGACCAAAGCTTCAAATGCGGACAGTAAGGTTAAGTTATTGGGTCTAGTCCCCTTACCATATGCTTAGAGGCCGAGAGAGTCTCCATATGAAGCCCAGTTCTAAAGACTGCAATATATTTTAGTCATTAGTTCCAAAATGGGCATCAGCAAGGAAATTGAGGGATGAGTAGAAGCTGACTGTTTTGGAAAACCAATAGGGTGTTGATCATGACCTAAAGAGATGATGTGGGTATAACGTTGTTCAATCTGTGGAAGTGACTTGAGATTAGAAGAATCAGAGCAAGAAGCAGAAGAACCAGCACGGCATTGGATGAGAGAGATGATTCTAAAGGCCTTAAATAGATGAGATTGGCCTGAAAAGTCTGTGCAGCATGTAAGAAGGGACTCCACCATAGATTTGTCACCTGCAGTCAATTGTCTAGGATTGATATTTGTGACTTATGTGATGTCAATTGGTATTTTCTTTGAGTTTCTGGTTGCTTAATGTTTTGTTTCAATTTTACAGGAGGAATGAATTTTTGGATTTGTCACAGAAAAAAGTTTCTTGGTAACAAATCAAATGAAGAAGGCAAGTGTTGTGTCAAGTAACATGGTAGCCGAGTACCGACTGTATGATGGCACCCACACTCACCACATCCAGAATAGAACAGTTAGCAAACACCTCGCCCACCCTTTTCCTCAACTAAAAAGGATCAGTTCATCCAAGTAAAACCACAACGTTCGACAAAGCTTCAATTGCACTCAATTGCCCGCAATTTCAGCTGTACATAATCACAAACACCAGCACCCCCAGACAATTGAGCAAGACCAGACACACACACACACACCCCACCACCCCATCCCTGGACGCCCAGACCTCGAACCTTCCCCTCCCAGGCGGAACCCGAGTTCCCCCCAACCTACATACAGATAATTCAGTAATACCTCCCACCACCGGTCACCATCACAGCCCCACCCATCACCATTGCACATGGCCCCAACACTATCATTCTTCAATTTTGTTGCTTTGTTTTTATATGACATATAGTATGTGAGAGTAGAGATAGAGTTTGGGGGCTTGTTGCAAGTGGAGCTTGTCACAGATTCATCAACACTGCAAGAACTCAAAGCTTGGAAATCATCGTCTTTCTCTCTTCGAGGCAACACTAAACCTGTGCATATGTTTACAGGGGTATTGGCGGTGGTGGGTTGGGCTGAAGTTTTGGCTACGAGAGAGGAGACATTGACCGACGAAATACACATGCACAACACATATTTAAAATGGAGAATGGAAATGTAAAATGTCACTTTTCATTAGGGACAAATTTGTAGAAAGACATCGCCCATTTTCTGCATTGTCCGACAATTTCTGACAAGGGAATGTCATTTTATTTTCAAAAATCAAGGGGTCGTCTCTGTAATTATATCAATCTACGAAAGATGTCATTGATATTTATCCAAATTATTATTAGGATATTTCAACAAATATTGACAAACCGAAGCCTTTCAAGCATATAAACTGCGTCAAAATCCATTTACCCAATTAAATATTAAGTATTTCATTGATGATTCATTAGTCATTCTTGAGAAATGGAGAGAAAATCCAATACTACTATGTACTATCATGTCCTAAACACACCTGATCTACTTCAAACGAAACCCCCAATTTCTGAAAGCATGAAATGACAGCCTTGGCAGTTCCAGACGTGTCCAGTTTCCCAGCTTGAAGTGACTACATCACTGATGGGACTCTTCTGAAAAAGCCTATGATGAAGACACGCGTCCTCGGGGGGTTCTAGGACAATGTTGCTCGGGTTCAAGCACCATCGGCAAAAGCGTCCTCTCCCCCGAGGTACCTCTCATACAGGATCACATATTCGGTACATTATACAATGACATGTGTCCTCGGTCACCATGTACCTCGGGAACACACCACCCCTTGGTCCCCCGAGGTGAGCCTTTCCTCGGCGCCGAGGGTCACTCCATCCTGGACGCTTCCTCTACTCCCGGATAAAGTTACTGACGTACGGGACATCAGCCTATGCCAGTCTAGACTATTCATCATGACCCCGTCTTACACAAGTAATGTCAGAACATGCTGGAATACAGAAGTCATAGCCAATACGTGACGGACGCGTGGCATATGATATCACATCAAAAACAGGCAAACCGCACGCTGTTGCTGACATGCGCTTTGGGAAGCAAACAATTAATTGCGCCCTTCTGTTGACGAGACCGCATTCAATGCGGTAAGGTCCGGATATGAAAGGCAATAAATGCTCCTATTACGGAGCATTTATTACATCCTTCCCGAAAGGAGCATATTGTACCGTCGGCGTCCCGACGACTCAACATTGATTGCTCGGGACCCCGAGCAGTCAATTAGAGAAGACATTCCTCATCAAATCAATACACACGCTACCAGTGCCTGATGATCACCTACTGACCACACTGACAGCAATCATGAGCTTCTAAGGTATAAATACCCCTCCCAAAAAGGCAAACGGGTATGCAATCACAAACTCTCTACTACGAAATATCCTTTCTCAGTGTTTTCTCCTTCCTCTTTCTCATTCAAAGACTGACAAGATCGTCGGAGGGGATACGCCGGAAAACACTCCGGCGCCCTTCTAACTTGTTCTCTTTTGCCCCAGGAAATACCTTTCGCACGTACCGGATCGTTCCTCCTTCCCCAGGATCGTAAGCTGTTTCGCGCAGTGTGTTTGGCCACTCAATCGGCTCGCCCAAAGTTCACCAGGGGAGAGATCTGTTCCCAATATTTTATATATATCGTGCAGGATCAAGCCCGCACAATCTGGCGCCGTCTGTGGGAAACGAGTAGTTTTCCTAATCTTTTCTCTAAAAAGAACAGTGACCATGGTGAACACCAGGCAGAAAGGGAAGGGACCCCACCAACGGAGTCATGAGTTGCAAGCTCCCTGCCATCACGGAGGGAGGGATCGCACCAGTACGATTAAAAGTGTCTCTACTCGGTCAAGGGGGGTAACCCCTCAAACCAGTATGGGTATCAGGTCAGGAGGATCAGCCCCCTTGGCCCGTCAGCTGGCATAGGTGATTGAAGAGAAATTTGGCGATAGATTACGTCAGCTGGAGAAGGACAATGTAAACGTCCTTAGCCGGCTCGACGAGTTTGCTGCCTCAGGCGGAGGGTCGAGGGATTCATTCCTCTCCCGAGGACTCCCCGTCCGTGAGGCGGAGACGAAGGATCTAAGGAACCACCTGGATCACAAAGCAGAAAGCTCCAGGGCCCCGAAGCGACCCAAGGCCGGCGAATGCCATCTTGACAACCATTCCAGGAAAGCAAGGCCATTGGCCCTGGACGACCTCCGGCGAGGTTTATCCAGACGGAGGAAGGGAGATGAATCCGAGGAGGACTCAACCCAATCTACACGACGCCCAGGAAACGAGGGGCTTACCGACGAACCCAGAGACTTCAGGAGGCATCCCGCAAGGGAAGAAGTAGATCTCAGAGCCCGATTAGACTCCAGGAGAAAGGGCAAGATGATCCAGGACGAGGCCGAGGACGAAGTCATGCAAACACCCTTCACGAGGGAAATCAGCGAGATGGACGTCTCAAGAAAGTTCGTCGTGCCACGATTCAAGACCTATGATGGGCGATCTGATCCCGACGCCCATATCAGACAGTATAAGCAGATGATGTCCCTCTATCATTCGGACCAACGGTTTCTATGCCGGGTGTTCCCTATGAGCTTGGGGGACTCCGCGATGAGATGGTTCGAGGCGCTTCCCCCAAACAGTATTGGGTCCTGGAAAGAATTGGCAAGGCAGTTCCTAACCCGATTCATTACGGGGAGTAAGCGCCCAAAGGACATTGGATCACTGCTGACTCTCAGGAGGAGGGAATCCGAGACTCTTCGCCAGTACGCCATCCGATACTGGGAAGAAGTCAATGAGGTCGAGGGATGCTCGGAGGTCATGGCAGCAGCATCATTCCGGCTCGGCTTGGCCAGGGACACGGACCTGTACCGATCCCTGACCAAAAAGACTCCCTCGGATATGGGGGAACTGATGGCCCGAATCAACAAGTACTCAAGGGTCGAGGACGAGATGGGGGGCAACAAAGGCCGAGCCCTCCAACCCAAGAGAAAGGAAAAAGAGCACGAAGATATTCCCCGGAAGGGATTGCTACCCCGTCCAGGGGGTTCGTCCAGAGGAGTTCACACCGTCTTCAAGGAACCCATCTTCAGGTTGCTCCATAAAATCAAACATGAACCGTTTTTCAAATGGCCGCCCAGGATGCAAAGCGACCTCTCCACCCGTGATCAAACAGTAAGATGCTCATATCACCGGGATGTCGGGCATCGCACCGAGAGCTGCAGGGTGTTCAAGTCATTCTTGGAGAGCTTAGTCCGAGATGGATATCTGAAAGAATACATAGAGCCCAGGCCAGAAGAGAAACGAGCTCATGCCCCGACCGAGGAACCAAACAACGTCATAGACGTCATCCATGTGTGTCCACTGGAGCGCCCCACGTCCAAAGAGCTTGAATCCGACCTCAAGAGGGTAGCTTTTACCAGAAAGGTAGCCGAAGGAGGTGTGGGGCCATCAAGCAAAAGGGCCAGGATGGGTGAGCTTGGCATTATGTTCTCTGACGCGGATTTGACGGGCGTGGTGATTCCTCATAAAGACGCCCTTGTCTTAACCCTGAAGATAGGGAAATTCGATGTCAAGAGAATCTTGATTGATTCAGGGAGTTCCTCGGAGGTGATGTACTTCGAGACTTTGAAGCGGATGGGTTTTGGCCCCAAAGACTTGACCAAAATCAGGACACCCCTCATCGGGTTCAACGGCTCTTTCGCCTTGCCCGTAGGGAAAATTACATTACCGGTCGCCACTGGTCCCTTCGTCATCGACACAGAGTTTGTGGTGATCGACACGGACTCCCCTTACAACGTGATTATGGGTCGAACATGGCTACACGCTTTGGGAGCGGTACACTCCACTCTCCACCAAAAGTTGAAGTTCGCCACGCCAGAGGGCGTCATGGAGATCCGGGGAGATCAAGCGTCCGCGAAGAACTGTTTTTATTCGGCCGTCCGAGCCGGGGCATCCGGCCAGGAGAAGG